AACACCTACCTGTCTCACAGTCACTCTCCTTGCAGCTGCAGTGTATGACATGCAAAACACTGTCAGGGACTGGATTTCTTGTCATCCATGTGACATGTAGGTTTCCATCTTCTAGGTGCCAACCGTATCCAGTAGGTGATGGAGCACATATATTTTGTTTGACACAGGACCTCATGACTGCAGCCTGATAATTAAAGGTGACATAATTAAAAATAAAGGTGGCATACATATTTGCAAAGTAGTGCAAATGTTGAGTGGTCCAAGTTAAAGTGAGCACCCAGATTTTTAAAAGCCTTGAGGTACTCTTAAGGTTTCTCACATGCTACAGAAAATGTCTTTCTTTTGCATTTACCATAAAAGGCACTTGTGGAGTCACACCCAGAGAATGTATGTATGCCAATCAAGGCTGAACACACACTGGTTCCGAGAGCTGATGACATCTTGGTAATGTCAGTGATGTGTGTCCTGTTGCCCGTCCCTGTGAAAAATTATAAGCTGCATGGTATGATAATAATAATAATAATATACATTTTATTTCATAGGTAAATTTGTCTGCAGACTTACAGCAATGACTGCCACATCAGTGTCAGGGCTCTTAATGATGACAGTTGTGTGCTCCTGTGCAGCATGCTGTGCATGCAATAACACCCTTGTGTCACATTCTTCATAATCACACTGCAGGTCTTCAACAGCATGAACAGATTGTGCACCCTCCATTACAGTCATACAGTGACATCGATCCCTATGTGTTATGTAAAAGCTGAGGTTTTTGCCCAGTCCTGTAAGAATGTATGTCCTTCTTGCATATTATGCACGTGGCTGGAAGGATGGGGCCAGAGGTCGCGATGGGCAGGCCTGACCTGGGTCTCAATTTCTTTCTCAGACATGGTGTCTTCCTGCTCGATGTTGATGGGATGGCCTCACTTCTTGAGCGGTCTTCCGTATCCTCTCTCTCACTCTCACTCGTGACGCCTTTTCACTTTTGCAATTGCACTCTTGTCAATAAACCTCCAGTAGAATGTGGGATGGAAAGCAGCGTTCTCGGGAACACTTTCAAACTCCAAATCCAGGCAGTGTTTGTAGTTTTCAGCTACATATCGGTACATCGGAGAAACCCAAAATCAGCTACGAAGAAGCCTTCTGAGAGTGACCCCCGGGGGGGCCCGGGGGGGGGGGGGATGAGAGCCCCAACCGGAAAAATATCAACACAGGACAATGACAACTCGACCATGAATGCAAGATGCATCTGTGGAAAAGTGTGCAAGAACTCGCATGGCCTAAAGATCTATCTGGCCAGGATGAAGTGTAGGGAGCAGGGGAACATACTGCAACGCACAGGACCTGATTCTGGTGAGACGCAGGAGGAGCCCGGCCAGGAAGCACCCCACAGTGCCCAGCTCCTCCAAGCAGTAGAACCTCTGAACCCCTGCAGAATAGTCCAACACAAGCAGATCGAGTGGCCTTCAGCCAACAGCCAGACAGTATGGGCACAATTTGACACAGACGTGAGCCAGATCTTGGAAACCACCGCCAAGAGAGAGGTGGACAAGTGCCTTGAGACCATGACGCCATCTTTGTCAGCTATGCAGCAGAGAGGTTTGGCCACAGTGAGGGCAGGAACACCAAGACCAGCTACCACGACGAACCACAGGGCCACTCAGATCCACAAATTATGTCAAGAACTCTGGAGCCTCAGGAAACAGTACAAGGTGGCCAGTGAAGAGGAGAAACAACCACTTGCTGATCTTCGCAACATCCTGAGGAAGAAGCTCATGACGTTGTGTTGGGCAGAGTGGCACTGTAGGCGGAGAAAGGAGAGAGCAGGGAAGCGCGCTGCGTTCATTTCCAACTCCTTCATTTACCCTTTCGTTTACCAAGAAGCTGTTGGGGGATAAGCGCAGCGGCCACCTCATGTGCTCAACTGCAGAGGCAAACGCTTTCTTGCACAACACCCTGAGCGACCCAGACAGGGACCAGGAGCTTGGACCACAGAGGGCCCTTATAAGCCCGCAAGCGCCAGCAGTGGAGTTTGTAATGAGAGAGCCCAGCTGGACAGAAGTGCAGGAGGTTGTGAGGGGAGCCAGAACAGCATCAGCCTCAGGCCCCAGTGGTGTTCCATACACTGTGTACAAAGGCTGCCCACAACTACGTTGACACCTGTGGAAGATTTTGAGGGTGATCTGGCGCAAGGGAAAAGTTGCAGGCCAATGGAGATGCGCAGAGGGTGTATGGATCCCGAAGGAAGAGGACTCAAAGGACATCAGTCAGTTTAGAACCATCTCGCTGCTAAGTGTTGAAGGCAGGATTTTCTTCAGCATCTTGTCGCGAAAACTAAGAGTTCCTTCTGAGGAACAGCTACATTGACACCTCTGTTCAAAAGGGCGGGATTCCTGGGGTGCCTGGCTGTCTGGAACACACTGGCATGGTGACCCAGCTCATCAGGGAGGCTCGTGAAGGAAAAGGAGATTTTACCGTACTCTGGCTGGACCTTACCAATACGTACGGCTGCATACCTCACAAGCTTGTGAGCTCGCCCTCCTGCGACATTATGTTCCTAGCAAAGTCACAGACCTTATCCTGGATTACTACAACAATTTTAGGCTAAGAGTCACTGCTGGGTCAGGCACATCAGACTGGCACTGACTTGAGAAAGGCATAATAACAGGCTGCACAATCTCATTGTCATTTTGTTTGCACTCGCCATGAACATGATCCTCAAGTCAGCAGAGGTGGAGTGTAGGGGACCCTTGACAAAATCTGGAGTACGCCAGCCCCCTATAAAAGCTTTTATGGATGACCTAACTGTCACCACCACATCTGTCCCGGGCAGTAGATGGATTCTCCAAGGCCTAGAGGGAGAACGTTCTGCAATGAAAGATCACCTGGTCCAACATCTGGAAAGCAGACACCCTTAACATCAGGTTTTTAGTCCAGGCTGTTTACGATGTCCCACCAAGCCCAACCAACCTCCACATCTAGGGCAAAACAGAGACATCATTCCGTCCCCAGTGTCCAGGACGGGGATCCCTGGACCACCTCTTCAGCTGCCCAAAAGCCCTTGGAGAAGGGCGCTATCGCTGGCGCCACGATTAAGTTCTAAAGGCGGTTGCTGAGAGCATAGCCATGGCCATTAACACCATCAAGAGCCACAACAAGCCTAAGACCATAAGTTTCCACAGAGCTGGAGAGAAGCCAGACATCCAACCAAGGGCCAGGTCAACTCAGAGTTCCCTGGGAAGAGCGAATGGAAGAGGCCAATGAGAGGAAGCGTGCTAAGTACCAGGAGCTGGTGGACGAGTGCAGGAGCCAAGGCTGGAAGACATACTGTGAACCCCTGGAGGTGGGCTACCGAGGATTTGCAGGGCAGTCCCTCTGCAAAGTCCTCACTATGCTGGGCCTCACAGGGGAGGCAAACTGGAAGGCCATCAGGTCTGCAACTGAAGCCACAGAGAAAGCCACAAGATGGCTTTAGATCAAGAGGGCAGATCTGTGGAAAAACGCTGCTGGGACACAGGCCAGAGTCTGATTACCCTCAGTCGGGTCACCTGGGTGAGGGTGTCTGATGATTGAAAGTGCATTCACATTGATGCAGAGGTTGTTTTCTCTACACCAGGGGTGTCAAACTAATTTTCATTGGGGGCCACATCAGCAATACAGTTCCCCTTGAAGGGCCAGTTGTAAATGAAAGACTGTATAGATCAGGGGTCCACAACCCCCGGTCCGTGGACCGGTACCAGTCCATAGGTCATCGGAGGTATTGAAGATGTCTGTCAGTACCTCCGTCAGCTGGTGTGCGCAGTCCCTCAGCAGCCGCCCAGGGATGTTGTCAGGACCAGCAGCTTTACGTGGGTTGATCCTTTGGAGGGTCCTCCTCACCTCTGCTGCGGTCACACTGAG